AAAAGTTGATATCAGAACTTTTGTACGTTGAAGGTGCGATCGTCACTAGTTTTTACCTCGTTAAGAGGTGTTTTTATTTGATTATAGAATATTTGGTTTTTTATTATTTCATGTTGCTATTTCAGTCAAGTTTTAATTCGTGAAATCTGCAAGGGTATTAAAACTTCGGCTTGCCGAAGTTAGCTTCGGTCCTCGTTATACCCGTTACTCGTAGAGTAAAAGGGTATATTAGATTCGTGCAAAAGTATGTAACAGCTAGAAGGAAGCGCTTCCGACCCCATAAAGTATATATATTCTTGATCAGGGTCACTAGCCGAGTCGATCTAGCCATGTCCGTCTGTCCGTCTGTCCGTCTGTCTGTCTGTCTGTCTGTCTGTCCGTCTGTCCGTCTGTATGAACGCTGAGATCTCAGAAACTACAAAAGCTAGAAGGTTGAGATTTCCCACACATATTCTTTGGCTTCCTACGCAGCGCAAGTTTATTTTAGCCGAGCGCCACGCCCCCTCTAACGCCCACAATCGCCCACTAATGATTTTAAAATGGGTCCTGCGTCCACATCTTTAAAGATTTCCAAAAAGTATAAATGCAATTTTGTTGTTTATATTTATACCTATCGAAATGTAGAAGACATTTTTCAAATCGGACCATTCATTAAAAAGTTATACGCAATCAAAAATTATATATCTATCTCCCTCGCACTCCCTTTAGCTGAGTTACGATTATTAGTCGGGACACCAACCCGACACAGCGTTCGCACTCCCTTTAGCTGAGTGATGGGTATTAGATAGTCGGGACAACAACCCGACTATAGCGTTCTCTCTTGTTTTTTTTATCTTTTTCGTAATGAATCAAACTTCATTTTCAAATGGTTTTAAACTCTATAGCTGCTGAAAAACACTGAAAAAAATTAAAACTAAAAAAATTTTAATTTATTTTTAAGAAAAATAAATTTTAATTTTTTTTTACATTTTTTTATGGAAAGCCATATTAATTCTTGAGCGATTAGCATCATAAGGATATATTTTACCGTTCCGAAGTTATGAATTAATGTCTGAGTTCAACTTTTTCGAAAAAGTGTCAAAAATGCCATATTTCGACCCCTATAACTTCGGTAAAACTCAAAATTTCGAAAAACCGTTAAAATGAAGTTCTTATATTGTCGTTGTGAACCGGAAAAGTAAAAAAGTTCGATGAAAATCGGACCTTCGGAACAGGGGTGGCCCACTTGGCAGATTTTGACTCCAAGATACAAGAAAATCTTTTTTTTCATATGCGTAGTTGACAAATTCTTTTTCAATTGTGAAACGGAAATGTTAAAAAGATTGGCTAAAAACTTCGTAACTGGGTTGGCCCACTTGTGATAATATATAAGTCATATTATAATAACACAATAATTTTATAAAAATTATTTATAAAATAAAAAAATAAAAAGAATCAAAAAATCAAAAGAATTTCCGAAACCCCAGACTGTGATGTCACGTCATTAAAATGCAGACAGTCAGTGGAAATTTCAGAACTGCAATGTAATACGTATTTATCCATTACCATCCTCATATGCTTACATTTAAATTTTAAAATAATTTCTTTGTTGTGACTGTCGCTTTCTGCATGATTCGTGGGGATGAGTCCATATATATCTCGTCGTTTTTACGTTTAGTGTGCGTCAGCTTTTTGGCTGACGATCATCTGCCAAGCGCCACATAATCCCGAGGCGTTGACTCATTGGAAAAAAGAGGGCCACCGGGGAGTTTATTTTATGTTTTTTGGAAATCACTCACCCATGTAGCCGCTTTCAGGTGTGAAAAAGAACCCGAGAATTATACTCGTAAATTTTCGATCGAATTTTGGGCTTATCTCGTTTGTCGATCGGCCTAAAAGCTCTCTTTGATCCCCCGATGTTTGGTCCTCAGGGTAGGGCATAAAAACTTCGTTCAGCACCCGCCAAAAATTAAAATCTTTTGTTTTATGCCCCACAACCTGTTGATTAATATACGAAGTATGCGGTGGTATCATTATTCGAATTTTTCGGCTGACAACTCGGCATTTCTCATGCAAATCGGATATGGAATTTTAATGTGTACTTGTTTTTATATTAATTGTTCGTTTCTCTTGCCATTGAGTGAGTGAATTCAATAAATTTCAGGTTGGCCGTGTGACACTTTCTGAGCGATAATGAGCCAAACTCCTCCGAATGTGATTAATGGACCTGTTAAATGGAAATCGCTGGATGGCGTTTTCCCAGATGGACACATCAAGGCGAGACGAGAGCAACGCACGAGTCCAGGGAAAGCGGAGAGCCGAGTGCACTGGATGCATATTTTAATTAATTACTCGGATACAGATACATCTGCCTGTGGGCGGGGGAAGTTCAATTGGGCTGGCATTTCCTGCCCATTTGGCCATAAGTCGCATTTTGGTGTGCGTCATGTTGAGAAAGTTTGGGGCTGTGTAAAACACAATTAGTAATTGCTTTGATTTCCTGCCTGTGGAGGAACGTGTTCGATTTCGCACGCTTGGGAAATGGTAGTATGTAAATCACATGTCCGACCAGTGGCGCACTTCCATTTTAGACCAGCCGAACACCTCAAATTGAGTCATTGTACATGGGGAAGTGATATCCCCACCCCTGATTACACTAAGGAAAAAAAACAAGATACTTACAATTTGTGGTACAATTTCCGATCTTAAAAATTTGGTTTTCCATTTTTTTTTAACCAGTTGGAGTAACATAGGTAAGCAACAATATAGACCATTTATTACATTAAAATTTTAGAAATTATTTTATACAGTTTTGAGTGTAGCCACAGGAACGCCATTCATTTGTAGACACGCATATAAATAAATAAGTTTCCCCATATCGGCCGACGTCCATGCCACCACCCACACAAATAATGCAATATTATACAAGTAGCCCGACAGGCGGACGCAGCGAAGATACACATACCCGTCTTCCGTACCCGTAGTTGTACAATGTACATACTCCATAATTGATATATCACGAACTTGCTCCCGGCGATCTCAAGCCGAGGACTGTTTTCCCGACCAGCCCAAGTGGGATGGAAAAAGCTAACGTTGGAGATACGGTTATCAGCGTTCGTCGAGAGAGGCAATAAACAATGATAGTTTCCCACTGAGTCACTGACATTTAAAAGTTACTAACCTTTCTTATGCTGACGCCGCTCCGTATTATCGTCTCCTTCCCTTCCGCAGGAAGCAGTCGATAACATAACTGATTTCTCGATCCTGACCATGGCAACCGCAGCTCAAGAACGCTTATAGTAATGAAATAATCTAGACCACTTCTACCGAAACCTGCGTAACTTCCATTGAGTAACAAGTAAAACGCCTTTGAACAGATAAGATTAACTTACTGATGCCGTAACTACGAAAAATTACGCACCTTTTGATGGATTGACCATGTGTCACTTTAGGGTTTGTCATTTGTTCTTTATTTAGGTCAACTGCAGAGCAGAATCGGTTTTGCATTCATTTTCGTGTTCAATTATCACTTGAACTCAAGACCTCAGTCTAAGTTCAGAAATTGCCGGCAAGTTGTTTCGGATATCTGTGGGTACAGTGCTGTACGCCACAATAAGATCTTATAAGATAAGCTTTAGCTTAGCTATTCGTTCCGGATCTATAAACTCTTTAAACTAAAAACCCCGGATCTAGAGTAGTCTACATTTTTGTTTGCAAAAAATATCCATGTTACTTTATTATTATGATTATGATTGACACTGTACCTAAGCTCGGTTTATATGTTTTTTCTTTATCGACGCACATACAGCCTCAATTTATACAACTTTCCTTCTGGTCTTCAATAGTCAAGATCAATTTGTATATATTGTAGATCGGCTATGATTAAGTGACAATAAATTAAATTTAAATAGACAAAGATTGTGATGATTATAAAATACATGTATTTTCATATGACGGGTTTTTGCGCTTGAAAATTACTTTTTGGGTTTTCCTAAGATTGTGATAAAGGTTACGATACTGTTCAGTAGTACGATGAGTAATCAACCAGCAGGCAATTCGTGCGTAGACTGATTGGCCGTTCATTCAAAAATAAAACCGGTTCGGTTAATGAGACACCAAAAGATATGATATGATAAAGATAGGAAAGCAAAAAATTTCGCAGTGTCATATCTATTTATTTTTGGTATCTTAGAAAATATTCAACACGGAAAATGTAACCGAAGATTGGATTTAAATTGGATACTTGGTATAAAAATTGATTTAGAAATGTCATATCTCTCTTTTCATTTTCATAATTTCATTGGCTCATAGAACTGCTTTATTAATCATCATAAATCATCTCCAGTCTCCAGTCTTGGCCAAGCCGTGTTAGGACTTAAACTTTTTAGGTAGTCTTAAAAAAATTGAAGAAATCTGCAACGATCAGATGGGCTCTTAAACACTTTTAAAAGATACGCAGAGAACAAGAATCTCTATATTAAATAGAATAGTGCATCTTAAATATATTAAAAATAGTCTATTAAACTCTTATAAATTATGTTAGGTGTCACACCGTATTTTCATATCAAACTTTTTGATCAAACTGATCAAAACATTTCTACCTTTTTCTTTCTGTGCATTTTTAAGAGAGCGCGAGTTACATGCGCTTTTTACCATTTGGAACATGTATTTTTTTTTAACATTACAACGATCGCTTTCTCTTGCACTCTTTTTCTCGCGTTGCGAGCGGAAATAAAGAGAAGCGGCCTGCTCTTTGTGCTCTTTGTGCCCGTAGTCGCAAGTCGCTTCACGTCGAGGCAAGTCCGCATTCGCTGTCAGAACTTCGCGCGGTAAACCCGCTTTTCGGCGGTCTAACGAGATTTTTCAGTTCGAACAAAACAGAAATAAGTTAATGTAAAAAATAAAAAACGAACGGGATATTTATGCTTACACGAAACACGCGAATAAAGAGAGCACCGCCCACTTCATGTCTATTCTTTTGTGGGGCGAACAAAGCCGCGAAACTCGTAACGGTTAACGGGTCACGGGAATCGGGAATCGGGAATCCGTATCGGGAATATACTAAAAAACGGGCGAACAAGGAAAGCCGTTCCTTTATGCAGGCACTGCGTGCTAATTAATTGTGTTTCTGTGGCCCAGTGGCTAATGTGCACTCGATATTGAATTTAAATTCAATCCAGCCCAACCCAATTCAACGCCCCCTGCTCCTGTTTTCCCCACTGTTCGTATATTCGTATGCGTCATATGTAAAAGAGCGGAAAAAGGGCGAAAAGGAGAGAGAAAGCCAAGGCAAGGAAAGAAGCAGTGGCCACAACAAAAGCAGCAAACACAGAACAAGAAGGCAAAACAGAGCAACAACAACGGCACCCCCACCCCCCACATTGCTCCATCCGTTGTTTTTGTTGCTGCTGCAGCTGTTTTTATGCTGCCGGCTATTTGTGTGTGTGCCACCAATGCGCATGTGTGTCTGTGTCAACCCCCGCGGACAAAAAGACAACAACGAAAATAAAATAAAAGTGAAAAGTTTAATTCCCTGTTTACCAATACGAATTGTTATTCCGGCGCAAGAATAGGGCCTCGAAAAAAATAAAGATAAATAGTTGTGATCCACCCGAGTGATCGCGGAAAAGTGTCAAGTGTTCTTCGCATCAAGAAAGAAAGAGAGGTGAAAAAGCTAAAGAAATGTGTTCCACATGTGTCGTCGCCATCCTGCTCGCACTCGTTGCCCTGTCCTCGGGCATCCAGGACCTGTCCCTCCCACACCAAAGATCTCCACCCACCTCTGAACAGCTGGACATGCAGGCAACCAAGCCCGGAAAAACAAAGCCAGTCTCCCAAGATGATATGGTGAGTCTACCGAATTTCTTAGTAACATTACTTGCTTACTTGGTAATATGCTAAGTAACTCGGAAACTTCTTCTATCAAAACCACAAATATATGAGTATTTAGAAATGAATCATTTTATTATAAATAAAAGCGTATGAAAATTTGAAAAAATATGGGCACCCGCTCTATTATTAATAATTATAAATAGCATTAAAATGGCTATAAAAGATTAAAAAAGACACTCGCATTGATATATTCAAGTATTCACTCAATAAACCCACAAATATAATCAATCAATGCATAACTGATGATAAATGCTTAAACACTGTTTGACACAATTGCCGATTTCAATAAAAATGCATCAATTATTAACTCTTGAACCCCTACAGACAGTTGAGTGGTTGAATAAAGTCCGCAAATGTTTGCAATACAAATTGTAACAGTAATGTTTGCTTCTGTGGCATACACATGTATACACTTTATAACCCGTCGAATTTAAATTTAAATTAAATTTAAAGAAAATTAAAACAAATGTGTACTTCAAAATTTGCATCAAAAAAGTGTTATAGAGACTCCTACAAGCAAACCCTGTGTCCGGTCAGTGGTAAACATCTGAGAATTAAATCGGCATACAGAAGAAGCATTTTCATTACAGCATCACCAGTAGCCTCAGATACTCAGTCCGTATCTGCATATACGGGAGCAGACAGTAGATCGAGGGGCAGGGTGTGTTCCATCGAGATAAGGCAGATCTGAATGCCCCTAACATCTCCACTTCACTCCGTGCTGCAGATGCGGCAGTGGCTGCCCATCTATGACCTCAAAATCCCAAAATGGTCTACATATGCAAATACAGCAGGAGCCATTAATATAAATCAAAACAAATAGACTTTTAAATAATTCACAATTTCCAATAAGTTCTTACGGCATATTAAAACAGATAAGATAATTTTTTTTTTTTTCAAAATTAAATATAAAAACAAAATTAATTTTCATCACTTAAGAAATCTAATAACCAAATTGATTAAGGATAACACATTTAATCATGCTAAAAAGTCTTTTTTATTTTGCTAAAAGAAGATCTAACACTTTGAAACGCACTTTACATGTGTGTATTTAGACCCCACGAGTTGGGGGCCCCAGTAGTGTCGGGTATGGAAACTGCAGTTCGTAGTGCACAATGCACGCTTATTGTTTTGGGGCCATGCCATCCCAGTGCTCTTTATGCATTTGTGGGCTTGTGCCTCCTGCACTAGACCGCCCCCCCCTCGTCGCCGGCTATGAGCAGCCCTCGCCACTAGGACATTTGCTTGCGGATTGCTGCAGTTAATGAGCGCGGGCGCCTTTTTAATCAGAATAACAAAATATGAGCAATTTACCCATTATGTCTGCCTTTTGTTTTTGTTTTTTGTGTGCCAAGGAGTCGCGATGGTATTCTTGAAGGCGCGTCAGGACATTGAACCCGTGCCACTGACTCAACAGCGCCAGACATGCGAGGCGGCCAGGATGAACTATTTATGTGCTCCGCCAGTCGGCCATTCAGTCAGCCATTCAGGCGGTTTTGCTCATACGGCAGGGCAAGTCTTGGCGTTTATTAAAGTGCGAAAGCCGTAATTGAGAGGTCTGAAACGTTTGGTAAAAATATGAAAGATTGAGAGAAGTAGGGCTCGGATAAGGCCTGTTTCAAAGTTATAGGACAACGAAGCTTATGTAATTTTCATAGAATTTAAATAGCGCACGTTAAACAGTCGAAACTTTTGAATACATTTTTTATTGGAGTAAAAAAATATATTAATCATTTATCAGGTAATAAAAATACAAATGTTAACGAAAGATAAAGTTACAATAACCTTAAAGCTTTAAAATATTATTTAAGTGCATATTATCCCTGAAACGGTGTTTAGGTCGAGGTCGTCACAGAGCCCGCATATTGTTTATTTAGTAAGGATATCGAAAGCGATGGATGTCGCCGCTCTCCAGCTGCCCGTCGGATGAGCGGGGCGAACATATGCCATATAGAGATAGGTATATGCATATGCATATGGGCACTTCCAAAAAAAAGTCCACCAAGCCAAAAACCTTGAAACTTGAATAAAACGTATTTCCACATGATTTTGCCCCGATATTAGTTTCTAATTAGTTGGATACTGAGCCTAACTACAAATTTGGAGTATAGTTTGATTATTTTTATGACGAACCCCACCAATATACGCAAAAATCAGTTTTTGGCTATTTTTTTGTTATTTTTTGGACCTGTCTTCTGTTGTTATTTTATCCTATAGGAATGCTAATATGTGACATTTTTCTGTACTGAATGCTTCATTCACATGCTAAACTGTTAAGTTAAAAGCAAAACATCCAGCAATTGAGAGATAGAGGTAAAGAAATCCGCTTTACAAAACAGTCGGAAAAAATGTCCCGAGCGACATGTCCCGAGCGAATGTGGTTGAACCTGCATTAAAAAAAAACGGCAAAGAATTTTTGAGTAAAACCAAAAGCATTTCACAGCGACATGTTTGAACAACATTCTAAAAAAAATCGCATTCAAATATTCCATCAGAATTTGCTAATTTCTGGTGTTGTATGAACTTCCCCGAAATCCACTTCTATTTTTGTCCCGAGCGAATACGGCAGTTTTTTACCGATATCTCAAAAACTAAAAGTGGTACAAAATTAAGATTTTTACCAAAAATAGAGCTTGGGAAGAGTGAAAAGAAAAGCCCATAATTAAAATTAAAATCCATTGTTTTAAAATTTTTTTTCAACTTTAAAGGTGTGCAAATGTCCCGAGCGACATTTTGGAAGTGCCCATATATGAAGCACTATATATAGCGGCGATATGAGCGGAACTGAAAAGAAAAGAACTGAGTTGGGAAGTCGGCGAGTTGAGTTGAGTTCGGTTGGGTTGAGTTCGACTGAGTGTCGCCAGCTAGGCGATGCCATGAAGTCGGTTCAATAAACGCACTCGTACTCCCCCCCTTCACGCACACACACACCCACGGCCCACTCACACACTCTTCGGATTGTTCGCATACACTCACGCTTATGAGTGGCGTGTAATCAAATAAATGATGAAAATGGAGCCAAGACGAAGCCCAAGATGCCGTGCACATAGAGAAAAAACAAGACTATATTTGTTTCAAATTAAACAATCTATTGATTGTATAGTTTAGTATACTAATATTCTAGAAATTAATAGCTTTCAAATCCAGGAATTAAAATAACATCTATGAAATTGCAAAAATCAATGGCTAAAAATGGTTAACTAAACTTCAACTTTTTTTTCGATTCTTCCCAGTTTTTAAGGTTTACCCAGAAGGTAAACTTATAAAATTTAGAAATAGTTAGAATAGAAATTACCTTCGTTGTAATTAACGGACTAAATCCTATTCTGTGGACTGGATCCTGTTCACTACTTTTATAACTGCTCCATTTAAAACAAAATTGTTATTTCATTTCAAAAATTCTTGGAAAAATACATGAAAACTTTCAGGAGGATTAGTTTCTGTGTTCGCTTAAAAAAGTCGATATTAACAGTTTTTTTAGACGGTTTACTTCAATTTAGCTCCTTAAAAGGTGATTTTTATTTTAAAAATTATTACAATTACGACCCATGCTTAAAACACCTATTGTGTTGCAGGGACCGTAAGTAATCATTATTTGAGATTTTTATTTATAGTTCTTTTTACGGTCCCTGTTGTATTGTATAATCTCTAAGGATTTTACCATTTTAGTGATAGATTTTGTATAAGAAAAATTCCTAAATAAACTTAAAATAAGTGCTCAATGCAAAATTGATGTTTCACCGTGTAGTGTTTTTATTCTTGGTGGCTAGCGGAGAGCCTTGGATAGGAGGAAGGGCGTAGTGGGGGTGTTGGGTGGCAGGGTCACGGCACTACACTGCGGTTGCCCCAACGGAAGTAGTCCGGAAAATGTACAAACACACATAGAAAGTGAAGTGAAGTTAACTTATCTGCACGCGCACAACCACTCACATTTACATGTCGCCACGCACAAGCGTGGGTATATATAAGACTGGGGATATATCTGTCTGAAGAAGAGGGCCTGACGACTTATTCGTACGTATATATATTCGATCCCGCTGCCACTGACACTGAGACAGGGACAAAAAGGAGGATAGAGAGAGAGAGACAGAGACAGCCCTAACAAACTGTTGCAATTTGCTTTCGAGTTTTCGCAAAATTCTAATTGGCACAACTAAAGGAAACAGCAGAAGGAAGCGTTGTCATCCGCAGACTTTGGGGACTTTCAACTTTCGTGTTTGTACTTGTAATTGCTATTTGCGGCCGAGGTCTCTCTGCCACTCGAGGGTAGTTATACCCGTTACTCGTAGAGTAAAAGGGTATATTGTATTCGTGCAAAAGTATGTAACAGGTAGAAGGAAGCGTTTCCGACCCCATAAAGTATATATATTCTTGATCAGGATCACTAGCCGAGTCGATCTAGCCATGTCCGTCTGTCCGTCTGTCCGTCTGTCTGTCTGTCTGTCTGTCTGTCTGTCTGTCTGTCTGTCCGTCTGTCCGTATGAACGCTGAGATCTCGGAAACTATAAAAGCTAGAAGATTGGCATTTTGCATGCAGATTCTGGGAGTTCCTACGCAGCGCAAGTTTATTTCAAAAAGGTGCCACGCCCCCTCTAACGCCCACTAGCCCTCTCTATCGCCCACAGTTTTGAAGCTATTATGAAAATAGTAACTGATATGTATTTGTTTCGTCAATACATATCGATTGGCCAAGTAAAAGTTTGCCACGCCCACTCTAACGCCCGCAAAACCCATTTAACGCTTAAACCTGTCTAGCGCCTACATTTCCGCCTTTCATGGCCAGTAGTACCAATATCTTGGGGTAGATGGCTCAATTCAATATACAATAGCGCCATCTATTCAGATGGTTAATTTGAACTTTTTTGTCCTTTTTTTCTGTGGTCACACTAATTCACAATATGTTATTGCAAATTTTAAATTATTTGAAAAGGGCGCGCATTTTGTCTCTTTTTGCT